AACAGCTCGCTTCATCACGAACGACAGCGTAATCAATTTAAACATCATCGAACGAATTACTTTTTTCTTGACGATTAAAATGACGCCTCGCGATTGTTCCGCTGTGCTTTCGATACGCCAAAAATGTATATTTAATATTATTATTTTCCTATTCCCCTCTCTCAGACTACTCTGTGCGTAATTTATACACATTTTATCGTTGTCTATCGTCATTCCCATTTGTTTATACCTCACGAATGTAACGTACTCGAGTAAGTTGTATAGTATTTAATGCCATTCATCTTTTTCGAGAATGTCCGTCCGAGTCATAGTGATCGCACGAATAATAGACAGTGCACCGTTGCTAACGCACCGTCGCTTTGTTTTCCTCCGGAGCTAATACTACCACTTTACAACTTGCGGGAAACGTGTTTCTCTACGCTTAATAAATGTGAAGTCCTTAAATAATCGAGGTCATTCTCTTCCTAATGTCATATGTTCTTCTGTTCATGTATGTATGTATAACGTGACATTTTATTCTCAAATAAAGTACTGCGAAATATAATTGACAGACTGTTTTATTCTGTGTTCATCCCCAAAGTTACATTACGTGTATTTTACACGTTCGAGGAACGGTGATATATTTAAATGACTTGCAATAAATTATATCGTGCGATGGAAATTTTGTATTATGAGTTGTAAATGAATTTTGACATTTCACGTTTCAGAAATTGTATGTATGTTTACGATACACGTCCTTGGCCTCTTTTTACGTAATTAAAAGATGAGGGTCTCCGGATTTAAGGGTGTTAATGAGCGTAATTGTATGTCGTGTAGCGGCGTGTCGATATGGAATCATTGCACTCAATGAAATTATCATGATTGTAGGAATAATGCGTCGTCAAGGATAATCAGCAAGATTGTAGGCTACGGTCAATGAAATTTGCATTAAATGTGCAAATTACAGATAAATTGAAGACATTGCCAATTAGAATCAATTGGATGCTCCGCCTGCATGCTGTTTGCAGGTGAAAACCTTTAACAAAAGAATCCTTCGCCGCTATTTAAACTAATTCTGGTTCACCGCGTGTGAGTAATGTTTCTTAATTACTTGTGTTCCGTCATTTGTTTTCAGCCCGAGGAACATGCCAAATGGGAGAAGGAATTTAACCGTAATATTCGAAATAGTTGAAGGAATAAAATATAATTAAAATTCAACATAAAAAGATATAAAACGTAGTTTTCTAAATTAAATTCTGTAACGATGCATACCGCCATTTTGTAATTACTATAGGTAGCGCGATTAGTAGCGTCACTGGAGTATGAATAATTATATTGAACTCAGGTATACGTCAGTCGATGTTCTATATTGTCTAATGCTAAATTTGTAATGAATCAATCAATTAAACAACATTACTTGTTAATTTATGTTACAGAAATTGTACATACTTTGTTACATGCTTTACTAATAAAAAACAATTAATAGAGTCCTCATTACAACTGTTAAATAAGTAACGAATTTTTTAATGCACATCAGGAAAAATAGTTTGTTGTATTTTTATTGCTGCACTTTATGTAAATTATGTTCATACAAACAACAAATTTCTATTGGCATTTAAAACTCTGAATTTTGTGATAGTTATTCGTGAATTATAAAGAATTTTATAAAGCTTTTTCAATCATTAAAATAAATATTTGAATATTTTTGCAACTATCAAATTTCTATTGGTATTTGAAATTTTGAACTTTATGACAGCTATTCGTGAATTATAAAGGATTATGTAATCTTTTTCAATCATTAAAATAAATATTTGAATATTGTATTTGTAAAGTGAATGTATTATATTTAAATGACAATGCAAATGTACGTAAATATGTACATATTCTGTAGTACATAACGTTTCAGATTTTTCATATCATCCTCGGTTGAATGAAGGAATTATCTCATGAAGACTAGTTTGGTAGTATCAGCGTTATTTCTGGCAATGCAGGAAATGAGTCATTCAAAATACTTAACACTCACAAATCTATTACTTTAAGTTCTTCGCCCGGTAGAACCTTTAGACCTACAATTTATTGTTTAAGATTGCTTTCTCTTTAAATAGGAAGTCGTTCATGATACTTATCACATCTACAAATTTATCTGATGAATCTTACTAGAGTGTTACAATTTGTATTCTTTTACGATTTATAAAATATTAATATTGTATACATTTATAATGAACGTATAATATTCTTTACATACTGACAGATGCCACATATTCAGTGATCAGAAGATATTTTACAAAGATTTTATCGACATCTGCATCGAAAGCACGAGATATCATTTTCAACCTCCACAACATCTTTTAAGGAGATGTAGTATGTATTTTAGGTATGTTGATTTGAATCTACGAAATTGTGACAGACGTGCAACTGTGATTTCTGTTCGCCAGTACGTTTACAAATGTCTGCAATAGACAATCGTCTTCTGCAAGTGTGCAGTTGTTAGACGCAGTTGTTACAAATTATAACGAAACCCTGTTTACACGAGCAGGTTCTAGTTCTATTAACATTCACTGCATTTACCTTGAACGAATTTTGAACACTGTGTTACGTACGTAAACTACATGTCTTTTCTGGGACTGATTTTTTTATTCTATGTATAGTGTAGAAAGGTTAACGGTGTAAATGTTGATGACATCAATAATTAGTTGGAGATATATATTTATAGGTAATTTAGGATTCAGAGACATCATTTTATTCTTAATATTTCTTTACAAAGTAATTATTGTATATCTTATTTGAGAAACAAGAAAGCAAAGAATTGTCTTATAGTGTTATAGTAACAGATATTATTTAAAAAATGCACTGCTCGAATATCTTTTATAATGTACAGTGGAATTTAGTTTATGTGCTCAAATGTTTATTTATAACTATTGTAATAAGCTAATATTAGGATCATGGAACTTAATGATCCTGTATTTCAACTGTCTTGAAATGCCAACTTATTCTCAGCATCTTTGACCTCATTACAAAGCAGTAAGAGTTGTCTATGCAAATAAAGTTGCTTAACAAATTCAAAATATTTATAAATATTTTGCTGTATAAAATATGATCTACTATTGAAATGAAGTCCAAATGTCATATACTTTTTTTAAAAATCCTTCTTTCTTGAATAAACGATTAATATTTTTCTAAGAAAAATTGCTTTCTAAGAAAAGAAAGTTTCCATGAGCTATTTCTGTAAAATTAATACTACGCAATAAATAAACTATTTTTTCAATCACAGTTTAGCACAAATAATAAATTCATTCCGATTGAATTCTAATGCTTTTAATGTGTAAATAAATAATACATTTGTTTTATAGAGGAAGCATTGTTTCCGTATAATCCAGTTTTATCGATCCTGTAATCGTCTTGTCATCCCTACCATATCACGACGATAACTGATACAGGGTGGTAGTAACACTGTAAGTGATGATCGAGCGATAGTGAGCTACATGGAAGCTACACGTCAGCCATTGAAACGACCGCAGAATCGTGTTAACTAATCTCTATAATTACCTGCTTAGTCCCCGGCGCTGCTACTACAGCCAGATAAAGGGAAACGTTGGAAGAGTGAACGAACAGAATATCTATGTAGTGCATTCCCCGATCCTAAAGATAACACCTCAGCTATCACTGTCAATTTAATATTCCTTTGAAGTTCAATGTTTACTTCGTCGATCAACCTTGAACCTTTCTAAGTACGTACTTCGATATTTAAACTTTTAAAGACAAATATAAGCATTTTGGAGATATTAAATTTTTATAATCAATATACAAAACTATCAACACATGATTTAATTATTTGAATAACGAAAGATCGAAACATAACTCTCTTTTAGCTTTGTATTTAGGAGTTTAAAGTATAATTAAGCTTTTTCTGCTGAAGGTTTTGAATTCTTTAAAAAATCCTCAAAGGACAATTCTTGTAGATTTTTATGTGTTAAAGAATTACTACACAATTTATATCCGCTTCTAAGAAAATATAGTAGAGACACGAAGTAACTGTCAATGATCCTCAACCAGCTAACGTCAAGCTAACGATCGCCTAGCGATCCCCTCAGTGCAACACACCCAATTTTCATACGTGCAATCACATTAGCTTGCTCGCCTTTCGTATTAACCTCATTAAAATTTACAAGAATCTAAATAAACATAAAACAACGTCGTCAATTACGAACTTCTCAATTCAACCATGAACCAACAAGTCGCCTAGTCTAACATAATTTCAATAATCTTCACCATCATTTAAAATAAACTTATCACCCTCCTCCTAAATACGTTAAAAAATCCGACATCAACAAAGCAATAAAAACACAAACAACCAAGGTACAAGTACAAAGCGAACAAACGTCCACCAAC